CTTCCGGTATATATATATGTTGGTGTTTAGTTAAAATTAAATTTAATTTTTTGTCATATAGAATTTGACCCAAAAATTAGTGACTAGAAGTCTCAACCTATATTTGATTTGAAAATTAATGGAATCAATTTTAATCCAAATTATTTTAAAATACATATCATATTAAATATCAGGAAGATTTACATAAATAACACTCAATTCTTATTTATTCACACATCTAAGGACTTGTTGTATCCAAAATGTCCAAGAAACACGCCCAATATATAGAGCGTTTTGTAGGAGAGAGAGAGAGTACGGTAAAGATTAATAAAAGAGTGTCATCTTTATTCACGACATTGATCCTCTATTTTAAGAATGAGTCATAGTACTACAAAATTACATACTAGGCCCCTCCTCATTGATCATTCAAAAGGATTTTTTGGTAATTTACAGAGATTCACATATAATAAAACTAGAGAACTGATTGGACCGATAGGAATTTCACCAATCTTCTATTAAGGCCCGGTTTTATTGACATCTAATCCAAAAAGATACTTTTTGTCTATTGGCCAAAGAGCAAATCGCTGTCTTGTGAGAGATCCTCTGACATTTTCTACTGATCGCTCAAAGAAAATGCTCATTTTGCCAACGCCCAAATCAGATGATCGCCTTCGAGTTACGCACAATCGATCATATTTTCTTCCCGAGCCGTTCACCTGCCTACCGACACATTTCTCATATACACAACTCAACTTAAATTTCTACATGTATATTATTTTATCTATATAAGAAAATCATTTATTACATTTTTACAATTTAAAATAGGGATATTTTTTATGTGATAAGAAAGATTCAGGGTCTGTTTGGGGCAGCTGCAACTTATCCAGATTTGCTGATAAACAGCTTATCCTGATAATCTGCTGATGGGCAGCTGATCCGGATAATCTGTCTGGCTTTTTAGTTAGTGTATTTTGAGAGCATCTGATTCTGAAGAAATGACCAATCTGCCCCTGTTCTGGATAAGCTATTGACCTGTTTGGTTCGTGCGTTTTGTAAACAGCTTATTTGCAATTTTTTTATTTGAATTACTAATATGTGTAGCAGAATAAGTTATTTTATCAACAAAATTAAAGATCAAATTTTAAGACACGACAATACAAATAAGTAGAGCTATATTTATATAACTCAAATATATCTGAACACAAATAAGTAAGAATGGAAGCACTCGAACTAGTGCGGTGTTTTGAAATTTTGATATCGACGAACTTTGAACACCGATGTCCAGTTCGGATATCATAGAAACATACTCTCTGTCGGCCCACCTGAAGAATTTGCAGTCCTCCTGTCGTTACAAGCGTCACGGAGTTGATAAATTCAAGGAATATGGTCAACAAATTAAAAATAACAAATTCCTATCAACATTCAGAGACAAGCATTATCCCCAAAAATGAGAGAGAGAGCTCCCTGATTGTGGTCAGATATTTTTCAGAACCTATAAATGAAATGGTCTTTAGATTTGTTCACCAGTTAAAGTATTGCTCAAATGAAAGATCAATCTCAAATGAAACCACAAAACAAGCATCGATGGAAAACATACAACAAATTCCTAATCAAAAGCAAACTAATCAAATAGAAATGCAAACCCTATACCTTTTTCTTATGATTTACGCAAAGTTAAAATATACAGCCAAAATAAGAACAACAAAATGACAATCAAATTTTAGTAATGAAAAGGCTTCTTCATCCTTACAAAACTCCGACTCACCTTGTCTATGAAACAAGGGCAAACAAAAGAGACGTAGAGATTGCAGGCAAAGTGAACATCAACATGTAAGAAAGGAAAATGATCATCTTGGTCGTCCTTTAGGATTCTCTTCGCCAATTTGTAATCTTTTCCCTTCGCCAATTTGTAGAGGCGAGGGCGAGAGGTGTCACGGGAGGAAAAAACTTAAGAACGGTACTGATGGAGGGAGGCAAGGGTGAGAGTTTGTGATGGCGAGGCGGGGTGAGAGGCGTCGAGCGAGGGAGGAGACGGGGGCACGGGAGGAAAAAACTTAAGAACACTACATCAATACTATCCCGCGGCCGCATCTATTAAAGAAATGAAAACTGAGTTTTTCATTAATCTATCCAAACGCAATAAACAAACGGACTGGCGGTGTTTTCAAAACGCCGCCTGCAGTTATAAACTGCCCCAAACGGGCCCTTAGACGGTGTAAATATTAAAATAAAATTTAAGTGTTAAATGTATAAATATATGATGATTATATGGTATGTATGCAAATGCTTTTATGTTACAGATCCGAACTTCATGAATAACAATGTTGTAAATTGTAACATAAATATTATACAAAAGTGTATAAAAATATTATGTCCATACTTAATGTTTTCTCTATGTTACAGCAACATGTGCAACATGAAAATATTTCGTTCAGATACGACACAATCGACGATTAACCGCTGATTAAGTGATTATCATATCACCATACACTACACCTTATCAGCAGGCTAAATGTGCAGACTTCTAGATTGAACAATTTTTAAGATGCAACAGGGTCGACCCTCTTAACCGCCTCGAGAACCGGCTAACTGAGCCACGGGGATCATCCCTGCTCGGTGATCGAGTACTTACATGGCCTAGAAGTTTTCTTTCCTTAAGTCTTCTTTGATTTGCTGCCTGATGCACGCATCGCTAAGCTTCCACACTCCTCCGTGATCTTCCCCTCGCCGCCTTCCGGTTCGGTAGTCCCCTCTGCAGCTGCTGGAAGGAAGAAGAAGGCGCGATGATTTCCACGGTACCGTCGAAACCTCAACCCTCACCGAATTGTGCGATTTAGACGAGTTTAATCTGTTCTATGTTTTTCGATTCTACCCCTTTTTCACCAGCGGACGTTTTCGGGGTCTCCTCCTTCGCAGAGTCCAAGATCTCCATCGGCGCAACCTTTCCTGTCCGTCTCGGTTACTGACCCGGTGAAATTGGGGAATGGAGTGCAGGCCTATATCTCGTATAGAGTCATGACTAAGGTATGCTTGTACCTTATTTGTTATACCCTTTTGATATTACTTTTATTGCGGAAAGAAGAAGATGGTTTGGTTGATCTTGATGTTTTTGGTATATGAGGGTTGAGTTTTAGCTTAATTTATGACGGGAAATGTTTTCATTTGAGTTTTCCAGATGTCGGTTGCATGGTTTGAAATCCTGGCTTCGCATAATTTTAGGAAAGAGTGCATATAGGGACTGATTTTCATTATTTGTATTGTTTTGGTCGTAATGTTTTTAAATCTATGTAACTTGGTAAGAAAGTTTGAACTTAGGTTATGTTTTGTGAATCTCTTTATATTATTTTTTCTGTATATCCTTAGTTTTCCACCATGCAAATTAGATATGTAGAAGTATTATGATTGGTGCTGATATAAGATAATTGAAGCATCTGAGATTTATGTTTTATTTAAGAAAAAAAAAAATAATCATGAAGTTGTTTCGTTTGCTGTCATCTTTTTTTAATAGATTTTTGATTTTATCAAATTCTCTTCTAATTCAGACCTCTTGGAGGCATGCTCAATGAAGACTGCTTTAAGATTTCTAATTTACTAACATTGGATGGTTTAATGTTTAGGGTTCATTAATGCAAAATTAGGGCGAGACGTAAGAGGAAAGAAGCAGAAGATTATAATTCTCACTTCCACAATTTTTATTCAAGCAAAAAATAGTTTTTTGGATGCAAAATTAAGAAAAATAAATTCATTCTAAACAATAGTGTACAAGTTGTCAAAACATGAAGTTCCATGAGAAGTCTAGGAACAAATATAAAATTTTGCAATAATTAAGGTTCAAACCACAAAAATAGAAATCAATTTGTGATGAGCTTGACAAACTATAACTCATACAAACAATCAAATTGCAAAATAATTTAGAAGAAAAGATAAAAATTGAAATCACCAATTGAAAAGCTCCAGATCTTGTTGATACAATTAGACTCATCGCCCATAAGCTTTCATTAAGACTTTAAAAGAGCTTTGTGAATCTATATTCAACAACATTCATACAAATTGAGAGAAATTCAGAAATTTACCATTCAATCATTTATCAAATTTAAATGTTTAAGGAATTCAATATATAATTCGCTAGACATGAAATTAGTAACTTTTTATAATTCTAAAAAAATCTTCCTGAAAACTGTTAGTTTCAATTCAGCACATTTGAATTTTAACAAGATTACCAAGTTTGTAACTTTAGTTTCTACATAATGGTAAGTTTCCACTTTTAGAATCTTGTTCTAGCAAGCTCCTAAAAATTCTCAGCTTCAACTATAGTGTGATATTAGGCAACAACAAACTTCTGCCTTTATCATCATTCCACCACTATTTTTTCTGCAGGAAATCTCCAGCATTATTTAGAAACAACCATACCAAATCACAGCCTTTTCTTTAAAACTTATTTTGCTCTCTTGAACTAATGAATTTTATATCTTCTATAAAATCAGATAAATACTGCTCGAGTGATGATAAAATAATAGTCTTATATTTTCTTCTGGAGTTTACATTCTTCCTTGTATGCATTTTTCCTTTTCATCTGCATGTAGTTTACTATTTCCATATGGTAGCAGTGCATCTAGCTAGCAAAAAAAGATGTTATCTTCTTTTTTTACAAAATTTTCCATTGTCCATCCAGTAGTTTTGCTTGAGACAATCTAGCTAATGAAAAAAACTCGTCACTCAAAACAGGTGATGTTTCTATTCTCTGTTCTCTAAATTTTTTTATCCAAAGTCTTATGAAGTTGGAGTTAGCTTATGAAGAATGTGTCAATAAATTTTTTCTCATTGAAGTGAAATTTGAGATAAGAGAGTTTTTCGAGTATTTTGATTAGCAAATCTGTTGAGGAAATCTCTAGGACCATGAGGTTGCTTTATGCTTGACGGATAAGAATTTTAGTAACTTACAAAAAATTTGTTTGATACTGTGGCAATTTTATTGTATCAAACTTATGAGTCTCAGGTGTTGTTCTTGAAAATGGTAATAGAATTTGGGTTTATAAAATGTATGCGAGCAATAAAGAGCTAATTTAGTTATACATTTAATCTTTTATGCTAACAAATTTCATGGATGCAAATGGAACATTTTAGTAAAAAATGAAAATATTCTCATATGTTTTTTATCGATCTCGAAAGAGCTCAAGTTGAGTTTTAGTTGACAATATATATTTAAAAAAATAGAGTAAAAGCCCAAAATAGTCCCCCGACTATTAAGAGTATCTTATTTAGTCCTAGAGTTTTAGAATGCTCTAATTTAGTCCTAGACTATTAAAAGTTTTTCTAAATTGATCATAAATTATATTTTTCATTAAATTTAACTGTGACTTGCAAGAATTGAAGGTATTTTCGTCTTTTATATAATTATTCAAAATTGAAGAATATGTTTATATGAAAGATATAAAAAAATTTAAGGATATAAATGACGGGGCCATTGTGAAAATTAGGGTTAACATTAAGTCAACGCCCTTTTTTAATGGTCAGGGTATTCCTAAGTAATATTCAAAAGAGTTATGGTGCGTTTGGGGCGGCGGTGTGGTGTCGCATTGTAGTTTTTTTTTTTTTTTTTTTTTGCAAAATTGCATTTTGTATGCTTTCCTAGAAAATTGCAACTGAAAGCTGTGTTTTCCTCACAATCCTGGCTACCTGCTGTGACTGCTATAAAATTACGGTCTGACTTTTTTTTTTTTTTTAAAGATTTTTGTAATAACCACCGCAGCTTTTTGAACAACAGCTTATTCGAACAGCTGCAGCTGCCCCAAACAGACCCTTAATACATCATACAACATTTGCTAATGGAATGTGTATAAGACATACTAATTCTTTTGTAGTAAGAGGTTAGAATACTAAAGCAATCTTTAAAAAGGCCTAAAATTTAGTATAATTTAGTGACAATAAAAGATCAGTTAATAGTTCAGTGTTATAAGTTTTAAGTAGTTTGGATTTACTGTCCAAAATAATGGGATATAGATAGGACAAAACTTCTTATGTTATGACTATTTTGTTAAAAAAAAGGCCTTAAGAATGCTATTTGATTCAAAAAAAAATCAAAGTTTATAAAAATTTACTGATAGACAAATTGAGTGCAAATTCAATGTAAACATTATTATGGATGTTTGGTAAAACTAATAACTATAGAGTATAACTTGATTATGTTAGAAAAATGAGATCGGCACTAAATAAAAATAAAATAGTGGAAATTAGATTTAGGTGGCTTGATATACATAAGAAATGGTAGGAGATTCCGTAATATGGTGTGAATTCATGTGAAAGATTTAGTAAAGAAATGAGTTATGCTGAAACTAACTTTGCTAAATGAAACGCAAAAAACTTGTGCACGATGGTGTAGCACCTTAACTCAATATGAATGAATGCATGAGCATTCATAAATTCAACTCAAAATGCTTAGGATAAGGCTAGTGATGATCATGTTTGTCCCTAAAACACATAGTTATTTGCATATATTCATTTTCATATGCTTCAACTTGTAGCTAAGCAAACAAACGCCAAGTTAAATAATGTAGTACTACTTGATATCGTGAATTCATAATGCCTATGTAGCGGCACTTGTTTATTTGTCCTGCACTGCTCAAGTAGAACCTCAACTTAGCATATGCGCAAATGTAGCTCCCGCATACTTAAATACTTATGAATTGCGAATAAATACTTTTTTGTTTTTTTCCCAATGTTTTGACATTTTTCTCTTAAGCAGACAAACATGCCAGAATATCAGGGACAAGAGAAGATTGTCATTCGGCGTTATAGTGACTTTGTTTGGTTGCATGATAGGCTTGCAGAAAAGTTCAAAGGAATTTTTATTCCACCTTTGCCTGAGAAGAGTGCTGTAGGTAAACTCCAAATGTTTTCTTCTCTATGCTTCATTCTTTATGAAACAAAAACCAATGCTTTAAGAGGTTCTTGGATGTGACACTTATAACCTTGAGAAATTACAAAGGGACTTCGGATGAATTTGGCAAGCCCTTTGCTTGATTTTCTCATAATTCAAGAGCTGTTATTATAGTGCCTCGTAGTTTGGTGGCAGTTAACCTTGATTAATTAATCATTTGTTGAGAAAAGAACAACAATTTTTTTTGTTTTGAGTTTCTAATTTCTTATTTTTTTATCCTTTTTTAGTATTTTCTATTCTCATGTAGTAAAAAATGTTTGTCCATTATCTTGATGTTCTATCGGTATTGAAGAACCTGAAATATCATTATCATTCTAATTATTTTTTGAGCTAGATGGGAAGTAACACACTGATCAAGAGATTAGTTGAGTCTATGATATGGGGACCAATTGAGATGATGTGGAAGCTGAGAAGGGGAATCTCAAGAGAATCTATAATATTGTTGAGAGGTTTTGAAGCCAAAAGCAATGTTGAAGAGAGTTATTTGGGTTGAGAATTAACTTAAGTTGGGGTCTCAAGCCATATGTTGAGGATCACGATGGAACCAAAAATCGAGAAGGTGTAAGAGATGAGCCGGCTATTGACCCAAGAAGATTATTGACCCCATGGTAATGATGGCATCTTGACATTGCCACTTCATAATTGCAATAGGCTTGATTCCCTGTAACATCTTTTTCAAAATTTTGATTTATTATCATAAATGTTCAATATAGATTGTGTGTCATATAGTATTAATATAGACGATAATATAGATGAAATTCCATCTCTCTTTAGTCAAATGAGAGCTAAAGAGAACTAATCGACTTGATTGGTATTGCCAATACTTTTGCTAATCTTAATTTTCTTCTTTCAGAGAGTGCTTCTTGTGCCTTGAATTTTATGACATGTGTGCAACATGGAGTCAATGAACTAGAGAGGGAAGGGATTTGAGAGATTTTTATTTCTTACATGTTGCCTAGTTTCCTCCATTAATAAAACTGCTTGCTTGGTTTCTGTTTCATGCAAATTTCAAATTATACCTCATTAATCATATTTTAGGTATTAGGGCTTTAAATTAATTGTGCACTCTAATACATGGCATTGAAAAACAGTGACGGCAAGAAGATGAGAGAATCATTCTTGTACTTAGAAGAAGAAATCTTAAGAAGGCAAAGAGAAGCCAATGAGCCAGCTATTGACCCAAGAAGATTATTGACCCCATGGTAATGATGACATCTTGACATTGCCACTTCATAATTGCAATAGGCTAGATTCCCTGTAACATCTTTTTCAAAATCTTGATTTCTTGTCATAAATGTTCAATATAGATTGTGTGCCATATAGTATTAATATAGACCATAATATAGATGAAATTCCATCTCTCTTTAATGGTAAGTCAAATGAGAGCTAAAGAGAACTAATCGACTTGATTGGTATTGCCTATACTTTTGTTAATCTTAATTTTCTTCTTTCAGAGAGTGCTTGTGCCTTGAATTTTATGACTTGTGTGCAACTGTTGACCTCATTTTTAGTGAGGTCTTAGTCTTCTACTCTTAGAACCTAGGATCTAGCTTTAGGAGTTCTTATTGACCATCCTAGCGGACTAGCAATGGAGCCCACCTCCCGTAGAACTTCAAGCCACTTCTTGACTCATTTTTGTGAAGAACTCGCATGAGTGGTTCCAAACACTCAACTTTTAGTTGCAAGGGCTAAGGACCAACATGTAGAGGGCCCGAAATTGAGTTCCTATAGGATCAACAGCCTTAGGTGAACCCTTTGTGACTCGATTACTCGCGAACGCCGCATTTCACGCACTCTATGCACCCCATACGACTTTGACTTGAATTGACTCGCCCGCCTGCAAACTCATCTGGACG